CGCTGCTCCGTTTGCTTGCCCCACTGCGCTGCTGCTGCTGCTGCCGCTGCCGCTGCCGCTGCTGTCGTCAATTGAGTGTTACTCGCGAATGGGTGTCAACAATCATGACAAGAAGCGCACGCGACAATTGTTGACACATTAGACGCGACGCGAGGCGAGCCGACGCGAGCAGCGCGCAGAGCAGTCGACGCTGGCACGCGATAAAAAAAATAAAAAAGCGCGCTCCGGTTATCAATTAGTCATCAGGCAGCGACGAAGCGGCCGATGCTGCCCTCCTGCGCCGTCAGCGTCACCGTCACCGATTGCTAAATGCCACCGGTTCGCTATGGTCAACTTGCCCGCTCGAGTTGCTGCTAATGTCACACGGCAATCACACACGCTGATTGGGCGCGATTGTGCGCTGATAAGCATCGTATTCAATTATGCCGGCAATTATTAATAATATAATCAGACAAATCGTCAAATAAAATGCCCGCATTAGGGGTGCGATTTGTAGGCATTAAATGTCAACAATATACAAATAGCAAACACAACAACAACAACAACAACAACAACAACAACAACACAACAAAACAGCAAAGCGACGTAGGCTGTGTGCCAAGGTGATAAAATCGGCAATTAATGCGAATTTGCAATTGGCAACGCCTACGTCACAGGACGTATACGTCACGTTGCCTTTGCCGTTGCCGTGGCCCAGTGATATATATATATAGCGCCAGGTAAGCATTGTATATATAAATAGATTGCAAAAAAAAAAAAACAACACTTAATTTGACTACGCTCGATGGACAGCTATCTACATATGTTGCGTCAGCTGACTTTATGGCACCTCAACCCTGCAAATAACAGCCAACGGGCAACTGGCCCCGGCCCAGCCCCCACGCGCCCTTGCAGCAATGAGTCAACCTACGCTTTTCTATCTTTCAATAAAACTTTCCTTAATGGGGCGCCAATTGGGCCAACATACTCGCAGCCAGGTAACTACTTTAGCATGATACATATGTGTGTGTCACTGATTAGTCAACCCCGAGGGCTATGTGCTCCCATGTGACTCCCAGGCTAGTTCAAAGTTCCTTCATTAAAGCGATCAGACAATATTTACAATCACAATGCGATAAGGCAAGCCAAGCCAAGTAATTGTTAAATCACTGCCAAATTCTCTGTACAACACAGCTCTGCGAATTGCACTGTCCAGCCAAATGTGGGCTGAAATATGTTTTAATGGATTATCTATATATGTGTTCTATTTGAATGGGAATGAGCTAAGAGCTCTCTAAAATGTATGGTTTACTACAAAACATACAATTTGCCCTTGTCATTTCAAACAACCAAACAGAAAAGCTCACATCTCAGTCGACAATAACTGAGCTCACTCAAATGCTGGCAATTAAATTGTGTGTTCAATCGCAGCAAAGGCGTGAAATTGATTGTGTTGAGCAGTGTAATTTTTCCGCGACCCTGCAGCCAATTTCGCCCCAAATCTGATTGGGCAGCGTCATGAGTTAAGAGCACACAGTGGGCGCCTCCTATTTGAAAAGCGGGCAATAAAGCTGCAAAGATACGAGCACTTAATTGTGCTGTGACTCAAATCGAGTTCTGATAACATTTAGTGGCACTTATCATTTATCGCCTTTACAAATAAATAATTAGCTACTACAGTTCATTCAGTTTTACGTGTGTTATAAGCTTAAAAGCATGGCCAGTTTTACATTGAGCCGGTGCGAAAACGAAATTCAATTCAACATAAAGCCGAATTAGCTAAAAAAATAAAAGCCGAAGCTAAGCTTGAAACGAGCCATAATTTCTTTAAAATGTGGTTTTAACGAACAATTCCCTTACTTGAATAGTATACAAATTTATATTAATTAAATTCTTCTATTGAAAATAGGCAACAAATGTGACGAAACGAGGCTCGAACCTGAAACTGGGCTTATAAAATATACATAAAACAGGCTCAAACTGTAAAGCAAACCCAAGCTATGCAGCCTATGCATATATAAGTATGTTACATATTATATCTGATTAATATTTGTTAATTAAGGTTCTTAAGATTGGATAGTACAAACTAAGATTGTACCTTGACAGAAAATATGCCACAGTTATTAAGAAAAGTAGATTTAAGTTCATAGCAAACTCATGAATTCCAGTAGCATTGTGCCTTATAGTTACCCGAAAATAAATTGTTTGTTTACATTTAAAGCGTAATGTGTCTTCACTCTTTCATCCAAGTACACAAACCATACAAAATATTCTACGATACAGAATGACACAAAAAATAGTTTGTAATTTCAATGTTGTCTAATTTAATAGCCTATGTAATTTGTATATACATTTAAAATATAATCATATTTATAAACAAAAACAAAAAGCACGTTAAGCGTTTAAGCACAACGAAGTAATTATCGATCATTTTTGGCATATAAAAGTTTTCCATGGGACTTAGTACCTTATCACTTATCAGCGACGCGTCCCAAGCGAAAGTGAGAACGAATTGTGGGGGCTCAATGCGATATCATATGAGCACTTTTATGGCAATAAGTGTGCGACGAAGGCGTGGAGGAGGAGGCGGAGGTGGAGATGGCCAACACGAGTTTTACTTTCGGATTTGTACATTGCACCCCAAGTACCGGAGAGTGTCACAATTATTGTTATCTGTGCACATGAAATTATAAATTAAGCAATGCTTAGCAAAAATTATAGCCGGTATTTAAGTTATCGAGCCATAATATATATACATATATCTATTTATGAGACTGCCTTCAGCTATAATATATTTTGACTTAAGGCCACATTTACTAAAATTTCATTAATTAGCTTCGGTTCATCAACGAATTAAGAGCCATATTTTTCTCAGTGCAGAAGTGGATAGTTTTTCGGACTTGCTATCAATACTTTGGGGTCATAAATCCGCCACCCATTGGTCAAGATAGACTCCGAATTGGCCGATGACTTTAGTAGCCACCGCGCTGTCCAAGTGGCCAGAAGTAGTCCCTGATCTACCGTACGCAACACATTAAAAAGAAATCAGCTCAACAAATAAATTGTAAAATATATATTTTTTTTGATAGTGAGGTGATTTATTTGTTTTGATTGTGATAAGCATCTTAAAGATGAAATGATGTAAAGTACATTAATAAAGCAACGATATCCCCTAACTATGGCTCCCGAATGTGTGTGTATCCCTATTGGATGAAGTTTTTCTCATTTTTTTCATTTTTCATTATGTCTATTCTGTTATAAAATCGATATTTATCGATATTCTGTAAAACTAAAAAGAAAAACTGGACAGAGAAGCGAACGGACAGATGGACGTGACTAGATTCGAGTTGGCCCCTCTCATCGATTGGGCATAATTTAATTACATATTAGGCTGATTACTTTATATTAAGTTGAAATATTAAATTATATTAAGCTCAGATTAAAATAATGTAAATTCTTCACAACAAACAATAAGAAATGAATAAAGCAACAAGTATATGTATATATATTAATCTTAGCATCATGCTTTTATTTCACAATATTTGATAAAATATGAAAATTTTTTCCTATTTCATAATCTGACTTTTTGCAGCTGCTGTTCTGTATCTTGAGTAAGAGCGTAGGATATAGTATTCTGCTATCGATTTTTAAGAAACTTAATTGATTTGGGGGAATGCTTATTCAACATTTGAAATCAAATGGGATATCTGACATTTTCAGAGCATTAATATGGCATCCAAGTGTGAGTTTTGGGAAGGACATGGGTTGTTTTTCCACCGAGAATTTCAAGCCTTTAGGCTCGGGTACTATACCCGAACTCGATGCATTCATACAGACGAACGGACGGACAGGCTGACGAACTAACATTTGCAAAAAAAATTGAATACCCATTGAATCGATTTGCAATATTGCAGCTGCTCCGATGGAGCCACAAGACGTCACATAGTGATATTGAATGACTCAAGAGTCATTTGAATACAGCATAGATAATGATAATGATAATGATAATGAAACCTGGAGCGCATTCATCAACAGAGTTAATATTAAGAATGAGCCGATCGAAGTCGGTGGCCGCATTGACGCAATTTCAGAGCGTCTTTGATAAGGCAGAGGTAAAGGCAAAGGAGTAGGCGCTGACACCATTAAGCTGGAAAAGTTCCCCCTAACGTAATGTATGAGCGTATACGTGCGGTAGGGATAGCGGCAAAAGGTAGTGGGGGGAGGATTGCGGTGGCATACGCAATTGATAAAAGGTAAATACGATATGAATATGAATGGATAAATTCTATAAATGTTTACGAGAGTGGTCGACAGGGGAGGGGAGGGGATAGGGCAATGTTTGAGTGTTAGAGGGTTGGGTGAGCGGCAGGTGGGGTGCTCGGCCTAGGGTATTGTGAGGGGGGAGGTGGCCTAATGCTGCTTGCTGCGGGTGTCATAAAATCAAATCAAATAATAATTATAAGCATGGCGCGAATTCTGATTACAATATTTTCGCACGTTGGAATTGACGTCGACGGTTACTGCGTTTTGTGACGCTGACGCTAACGTCGGCAGCGACAGCGACCGCGACTGCGACTGCGACTGCGACTGAGACCGCGTGCGAGCAATGAGCAGATAGCAGCTACACAGCGACGACCAATTGGAGACCATTCCGGACAATCAATGAAAGCAAATGGAACAGAAACGCCTGCGCCAACGCCTGCGCCAACGCCAACGTCGCGGCCAGCGTCTGCGTCTGGGACTGCCTCACACGCAGCACGGCGATTTCGTATAAATATAAATTAATGTGCCCAGCTGAAAACATGAATCAGTCTTATTTAGACGCACGCCAATGATAATCGTCGGCTCGCGAATCCAACCGAACCGAATCGAAACAAAGCTAAAGCTAAAGCTAAAACTATAACTCAAACTGAGGCTCAAACAATAACTCAAACTGAAACTGAAACTGAAACTGAAACTTAAACTGAAACCGAAGAGTCGTTAGCATTATTAAACAATAAGCGAGTGTACTTCCCCGCAGTGCATGAGTACGCCCCAGTCAGTATTATAGACATAAACATTAACATTAACATTAACATTAACCTAGCCCAGTGCCGAGTGACTGCGAAAATGTGCCATACAAGTAAGTACGAGTGTTTGTCGCACTGCCGAGTGCCAAGTCCAAAGTTCTTAGGTCCCCTTAAGACCAGGCCCCCGCCCAAAAATGAAAAAAGCAAAAAAGTCAACTGAAGAGCCTAGGCATATCAATTTTTAATGGCTGTACGAAATTTATGATCGTACAGCCAAACGTGGTGAAATTTAATCATTTTTAGAGCGATGTTCTCAGCGTTAAAGGCACGCATTAAGTAAAAAAAAAATCAAATCAAATCAAATCAAATATAATACTCCTCAAATGGAGGTCAGTGCAAAGATAATGCCAGAAGACCCGCAGCTTAAGCCAATGATATATCGAACAATTGTCTAGCCGCATTTGCATAGTTTATTTAAAGGCGCGTCCGGGACTTCCCCGAGCACACAGTACAAAGCGCGCTGTTCAACTTCATCAGTATGTTTTTTAAAGATGGCTATTGAATAATTTAATAAATTCTTGAATTCATTATAAACTCACAACTGGACACTCGAATCCACTCGGCAATTAATAAGCAATAATTACAATCTTGCTGTACTAATCCGTCATGTGCTAATCCGAGCGTTCAATCAATCAATCAATCAATCGAATCACATGCTTGCTGCCTATTTTTTGTGCTTTCTTCACGCTCTCCGATAAGGGCTATAAATGTGTGCCGGGCACGAGTACCGGAGCGGAGCGAAGCGAACTATTACCCTCATCATATGATGTCATTCTTAACTGAGCCTCGGATACAATTGCAGCTTCGGCCAGCAATTGCAGTCGCATTGGCCAAATGCATTCCCATCATAAAGTTTATAGACTCCGGTTAATCACACTTGCGGTTATGCAATTAGACCAGAAACTTCTGCGGAGACACCTGTCCACTCGATGGACATGGCCAGCAGCACGTGCGCTTGCAACAGCAGCAGCAGCAGCAGCAGCGACAGCGACAGCGGTACCGGCATTGGCCCTGTTGTTGTTGCTGCTGTTTTCGTTATCGAATGCGATGTCGCTGACCTACGTCAACAACAAACGTTTGAGCTTGTGGCTGTTGCTGTTGCTGTTGCTGCCGCTGCCGCTGTTGCCGTCGCAGTCGCCGTTGCCGTTGCCGTCGCAGTCGCTGTCGCCGTCGCCGTCGCCGTCGCAGTTGAGCTGTTGGCCCGGCACGAGCGCGGATTTTGAATGAATTTGTGTTTTGTATGAATTATTCATACGACGCGTTGCCCGCGGCCAATTGGTCAACGATGACGTAGCTGTTGCTCGCGACTTGTCTGTCTGGTCAGCGTCTGCATTTGCTGCTGCTGCTGCTGCTGCTGCTGCTGCTGTTGCTGCGGCGACTGCGGCTGCTGGCAATATCTGCCGGCGCAGCGTTCAATTTGTGAGCAGTAAAAAAACCCAAAATACTCACACGATGAGTAATCCGAAAATTTCTTGTGAAATTCAAGCGAAACACAATTTCTGCGACCGCCTCTGATGACAAAGCCAAACATATTAAAACAAAAACAAAAACAAAAACAACAACAATATTAACAGAAGCAATTGTGCTCAATTGATTTTGGTCAAAAGGCGCAAACAGGCCAAGCGCATGCGGCATCTCGCTCGCGCGTTCTCACTCGCCGCTGGAGGCTGCCTCTTATCAGCCGCACACTCACTCAATTGCGAGTGGCAGCGCGACTTGAGTGCGAGTGCGAGTGCGATTGCGAGTGCGATTGCGAGTGCATTGTGAATGTGAATCCGAGTGCGAGTGCGAGTGCGAGTGCGCGACTGGCCAGTTGCCGAGCAGATGCCGCGGAGCGCACACGCCAAATCGAACGAGTCTCTTGACGCTCAATTGCCGTCTAGTTGTTGACTAGTTAGTTAATTGTTTAAGTTAGTAATTCGTATTTGTGTTTTTTTTTTTTTGTTTGTTTTTTGGTGTTGTTGTTATTTTGCGATACGTGCAGTCGTGTTAGTCTAGCGCCCAGTCTCATGTCCAACGGTAGGCGACAGCCAGAGAACGCTCCGCAAATCCAAAAAAGAGCGAAAAGGTTAATTTTTATATTTTCTTCTTCCTTGCAGCCAAGCATTGCCAAAGCGAGACAACAAACAGCCAAAGCAGCAGCAGCATTAGCAGCAGCAGCAGCAGCAATAGACAACACATTTGCAGTTGCAACAGCAGCAGCAGCAGCAGCAGCAGAGGCAGCAGAGGCAGCTTTCGCATTCACAGTTATACGCTGATCATGGCTCTGGCTGCGCTGCTGCTGCCATTGACACAGGCCCGCCATTTGCACGATCAGCTGGCGCTAGGCTTCGCCTACGACGACGCGGACAGCTCCAGTGGCAGCGCCAGCCTCAGCCTCAACTCCGGCGACAGCGAGAGCGAAAGCGACAGCGACAGCAACAGCTCCGAATCCAGCGACTCGCTGCCGGCCTGGCACGTGAATCCGTTCCACGGACTGGCCGATAGCTTCGGCGATGCCAGCTACGACAGCGACGCCAGCAGCAGCAGCTGTAATGGTGGTGAGGTTCGGGTTCAGTTTTTGCCTTTCGTTTGGCCATCTACCAAAAATAAAAAAAACAAACGGCCGTGGCTGTTGCCTAACCGGGTGCATAGGGATTGGAGGTTCGCACTTCTTGCTAATACTCGGACAATAGCTCGTCGGACTGGTCGGGGTTTTTTCCTTTCCCTTTTGCACTTACCATAAACACATAGTTTAAGTGCGATCAAAAAAAATAAAAAAAAACTTATTGATTTAAGTAAATCCATTGAAACAAAAAAAAACCGGATTCTAGTATGGGTACCATTAATGTGTTCCGACCGAACACCCAAATTCAAACTATTCAATTTCGCGTAAGTGAGAGAACTAAGGTGTTGATCGTCTCTCTTTCTCTTTACCCTCCCTACCTTGACAAGCAAAAAAAAAATGGAATGTGGATGCTTGTCCCTATTTCAGGTTCTTAAACCATCACTATAAATTGCAAGCGGCTAACATGGGTACTTGACAGATAAAACAATTAATTATGGAATTAGGATATCATATCATATAAGCTAATATAATTCGTTTATTCACGCATTGTTCAATTTTGTTGCCAATTAATAGCAAGGTGAGTATAACTCTATTTACAAGAAAAAATATACAGTTTCCAAACAAAATTTGAATCCAAAGTTAATATGATGAATGTGCAATAACTAGTTTAAATCCCATAAAGAAATTAAGGGGAAGGAGAAATTCACCAACATTATCTTGAGACTTGACGGATAGTAATTAATTTACCGTCTTGCTAAATTAACTGCATTTAAATGTTCATGTGTGTATATAACTACATATATCTATAGGCATTGGTTTAAACTCTTACTCACGCGATATCCTTCGAAGCAGACGTTGGGCCCAATGTATACGACGATTATGATCGCTGTTGCTAAATATTACAAAAGAAATTTATAAGTATATAAACACATGTATATATATATATATATATATATATATATATATGAGCAACGGTCAAGGTCGGTGGTGTAGGAATTTCCTCTCGCTTTAACTTATTTAGGCATATTCATTGCACATTTTGTTTTAAAGAAATTAGTAAAAGAAAAAAAAAATTAAAGGAAATAAAAATTAAAACTAAGGATCTATTAGCCGTCCATCTTGGCAACGTTAAACAATTAATGGAATTATATGGCAATGCTGCTAAGCAAGCGAAAGGGGTACACCAAAAGTAATACAGACTCGGCTCCTTTGTTACTCTCTGCAGGTTACACTATATGCTTAGTGCATGCGGTCCCGATGGTGCTGCATAAATAGTAAGCGTTTCACCCGCTTGACGCCGTTTTCCGAGGCTATGCCAGATGTTGTTCTTCGCAAGACAGCGGCTGATAAGTAAAATAGCAACAAAATTGGTTCTGCTGGGTTGCTAAGTGCGACACGTGCTCTTGGTGTTGCCCTTGTCTGGTCCGATCTCCCCCTCTGGTAGTGCCGACTAGTACGTCTAAATCTAGTCAACTGAGCAGGCACGGAAACTGTGGAAGCCTTAATTAGTTCCAAGTCTCAACACTAGCACATATAAATACCTTTTCTTTAAGGGTCACCCCGAATCACAATTAGGTTAGTGGGTCGAGTTGTTATGAAGGTTTTTGGTTTCTATTAGCGTACCAAAAGAACACTTCCAAACTGTACCACAATTGCAGCCTTGGTCGTTGATGTCTTTGCAAAAATTATTTGCAAAGAAAGAAAAAATGTTATGAACTTAACTCGCACGCGCTTCAAATATATCTGACATGCTGAGCTGTACTTTTAACCTTTACTACTTCCCAACGACAAAAAAAATAAGGAAGCTTTCAAAAGCTCTACATCACGCGATTATATTTTAAAACGGTACTATGGCCTGATCTTATCACCTTTTTCCTCTCTATTCGCCCTATTCGGTTGCGCATGCCCTCAGCTGTGCAATAAACGAAGAATTGGCTTCCAGCGCGGTCGGTAAAGCAGTAACTAAACTAGAGCAGCTGATCAACAAGCAGATTCGTTTGGGGAGTGCAAAGCAGCCACTACACCACAGTTTATGCAGCGCTACTTGCTAGCGGGACATAAACTGAAATAACTATAATAACTGTTGGGTTAGAACTTGTTACTAGTTTGTATATCTTTGAGATGAAAAGTACCGATGCATTTACCTGTTTCATTAGCTAGTTGATAGTAGGCTGGGCTGACTTTTTGTACAACAATCGCCGGAATGAAAACTGGTGCAAGCTTAGAACTAAACTTCTTTTGCGCGTTACTCTGACAAAAATTGCGGGCGAAGACTTTCGTACCGGCAGTAAGACTTATGTTTCGGCTGCGCAAATTATATATCTTAGCATTTCTATTATGTGACTGAGCTACATTGTCTTTAGCTATCTGACGGATTACTTGTAAGGCTGTGGGCCTCTCAATAGCAGTGTCTTCGGACAAGAGGTTAAGTCGCTTTAGCAAGTCATAGTCTTTACCGTTTAACATCATATTCTGTCCAAACGCTAAAAAATATGGAGAGTACCCTGTACTTTGGTGAACGCTGGCTCTCAAGGCAGCACAAATGGCGTACAGCTTTTTATCCCAATTTGAATGATCTTTTCCGATATAGGCTCTAATAGCCGCTAATACTGATCTATTTACTCGCTCACTCGCATTACTTTGTGGCGAGTATATTGCCGTTCGAATGTGGATGATTCCATACCGGGTAAGAAAAGCTTTAAAGACACTAGAAATGAACTGAGAGCCATTGTCGGTCAGAATAGTTTCTGGCACGCCGAAAGTGCAAAACAGTGCGTTTTCTAGATAGTCGATAATTTTGTTGGTAGTAAACGCGCGAAGAGGCCACATAAAATGAAATTTAGTATTGTGGTCTACAACCATCAGGAGACCTATATTGCCGTTCTTGGACCGAGGATATGGCCCTAGAAGATCCATGTAGAGCTTCTGAAATGGCCGTTCTGACGTCATAGGCTTGCCCATTGGAGGTCTCAACACTACATTGGGGCTTTTCGTTTGCCGACAAACTTTACAATTGACTATATATTCATGAATTTGGGCCGACATTTTTGGCCAAAACAAGTATCTCTTGAGTTTCTCTATTGTTTTTCCGATGCCACTGTGTGCAGCGTTAGGGGGATTGTGGGCTCTCTCTATCACTTGTATGGTGAGAGACGAAGGTATCCAGAGTTTCCAGGATTGTTTCTCCTGAATGCTATATCCCGTCGCTGGCTCAGTACGTTTATATATAAAACCGTCGATTATCTGTAAATCCGGTAATCTGGATTGGTTAGAAGAAATACTGTCTATCAGATCCAGATAGTTTGGCGATTTGAATTCGGGTGAAGACAGGTCAACTATGGGACCTTGCTCCTCGAATTCCGCAAGCTCTGTCTCATTTTGACGCGATAGCGCATCAGCGACAACATTTTGTGTACCGCTACGATGCGAGACTTTAAACTTGAAGCCCTGTAATTTGATCACCCATCTACCTTGACGTCCTCTGAGATCCTTCTGTCTCATGAGCCATTGTAAGGAAGCATGATCAGTTATTACTTCGAAGTCCTGTCCTTCTATATACGCTCTAAATTTAAAAATACCTCTTATTACGGCTAAGCATTCCAGATCGGTCACACTATAATTCCGTTGGGCCTTTGACAGTTTCTCTGACATGTATGCTATTGGAGCCTCCTCTTCCTGTTCATTTAGTTGAGCTAGAACGCATCCTAAACCAGTTGTGCTAGCATCGCAAACTAATCTAAAAGGTTTTGAGAAGTCGGGTGTAGCCAATACAGGTGCAGAAGTTAAAAGTGTTTTTTAAGGTGTTGAAAGCGGAATCAGCATCAGTGTTCCATTTCAATACTTTCGATTTCTTTAGCAACTCTGTAAGCGGAAAGCTAACTGTTGCATAATGATTAACGAAACGTCTATACCATCCAGCGAGTCCAAGAAAACGTCTCAGTTGTTTTACACTTTTTGGTACAGGGAATTCGTTAATAGCTTGTATTTTGCTAGGGTCCGTCTTTAGTTGACCATACCCAATTATAAAGCCCAAATATTTAATTTCCCGCATACAAAATTTTGATTTTGCGATGTTGATTGTCAAGTTCGCTTTACGCAAGTGCAGCGCTACTTCCTGCAAAAGCAACATATGCGAATCGAAGTCCTCTGATAGCAGAAGTAAATCATCTAAGTAGACAAATACGCGGGTCCGCAAATGGGCTGGTATCACGCGTTCCATTAGTCTACAAAGCGTTTGAGGAGCGTTACACAATCCAAACGGCATTACTTTGTATTGAAATAATGGACGATTAGGGACTGTAAAAGCGGTATACTGACGTGATTTTTCTTCTAGGGGTATCTGCCAGAATGCGTGCTTCATATCGAGGCCCGTTATATATTTAGCCGGCGGCAGACGACTAAGAATTCCGTCGATATGGGGTAGAGGGTACGCATCTTTACGAGTGTACTTATTTATGACTCGAGAATCTAGACACAGCCTGTTTTTATCCTTTCTTTGCACAAGGACGCAGTTGCTGCTCCAGGGGCTATGCGATACCTCTATTATATCTAAAGCTAGCATTTTCTCGATCTCGTCAAACATTAGCTTTTCAACGGCTGGCGAAATAGGCCAATGTCTTTGTTTGACGGGGGTCACATTATCTATTTCAATGCGATGTTCGATTAACTCAGTGCGTCCTAATCCTTCCTTTTCATAAGAATAGAAATTAGAAATGATCGAATTTAATCGTGACTTTTCTTCAGCGGTTAGCTGATGCATTTTCGCTGTTTCCTGGATATCCTGTTCGTTACTGTTGTCTAATTCATTTACGGACTCATCAGGACGAATTAAATTCGTTAACAGTCCAAAGTCCTGCCAAAAATTTATGCCTAAGTAAACATCTTGTTTCAAATCGGGTATAACATAAAAATCAACATTATGCACTTGTTTTCGAAATTCAACTTTAAGTGTCAGTTTGCCTACCACTGGGCAAATAGCGTTGTTAGCTGTTCGGATTGATCCAGAGCATTTGCGCGCTTTGGGATGTGACAACAGTGACTTAGCTGCAACATTACCGAGGCAACTAATCGTCGCTCCGGAATCTAATAATGCTACATATTTTTCTCCCTCTAGGCTTAACTCAGTGTACAAGCGGTTATCTGAGCTCATAAACACTGATTGAACGAGCTTCTTACGAAGACTTTTAATATTTTTCCAGAATTTCCTAAGTCGAACA